TATCCTTTATTCATCTTTTTCTCAAAAGCAAGAGTCTTTCTCTTGGAAGTTTCATATCTGAGACTAACTTTCTCTTCTTTGATTTTACAAATCCCTACAAAGAATTAAAGTCTCAGATGAGTTTCACAGCTTGCTTATTTCAGCAGTTCTTGTCCTGGGTTTGCAAACTCAAAGCTTATTTTTGAATTTAGTAAGAAATATCAATCACAAATGCAATTAAGTCTTTTGCATTACATGAGGTTAGTAGAAAGTGTATACATTTTTCTTAACCTGAAGTAGATTTGACAATTTTGTGTACTTGAGATCAGTGTCATTTAAGATATCAGAATCCAAAATCAACATATAGTGTGTTGCACCCAGTTCATATAGTATGCTTTTTTCTTCTCTGAGTTGTTTTTTCTTTTTATTGTTTGTATATGTGTGTGACTGACATATGTAAGGTTTTATATTTTATAAGTAATGCACCTGGCCACTTACCATGGTTAGTGCTTGTCATCGTTTCTTCTGAAAATAAAAGTTTACAACTAGGTTATAAATTTTTACCAGAGATTGACACTTTAGCTTATTATATCTCTAACAGAAAAAAAACAGTTGTTTTATAAAATAATTCTGAAATTGTTTTCTGGACAGTTTTATTAAAGTAAAAAAAAATAAACCCTAGGTCAACAATGATAGCATATTCCTCTTCCTACAGAGACTGAGAATTAAAAACAAGAACAACCAAACTCTGCTCTTTCTGCTTCTGTCTTTTAAAATAGGAATTATCCTTTTAATTCATGCATTTATTCATCTAACAAATGCTTATTAAATGTGTTCATATATGCCAAGTGCCGTGTCCTTAGAGATTATACATATAAATGAAACTTGATGCCATCTTACACTACACTCACATCCATTAGTGTATTAAGGCTTAAGTAAATTACCAAGAGATGCACACATATGAGTGATAGCTAGTGCCCTCACCAAAGGATGAACGTTTGGGAGAGATATTCAAGGGTTTTCTCAGGTATAATTTGTCCCTATAAACGAGGGGAAATAATTTTAAGTAGGTTTGGAATTCAGGATACTACAGGTCAATTATCCCCAATTTTTAACTTTTTTTGTATATAGGATATGTCTGTGCTAATGTTAGTGAGGTGATGAATTAAGGACCCATACATCTTTATTTTCTCTTTTACCTTTCCCACACCTTTCTCATGTCATGGTCTAACATACGACAAAGGGCTTCAGTTTTTGCATTGCTCACGTGGGTATGAATGTCTGTTGAGCTAACTGCCATGGGGTAGAACTAATGTTGGATCCATGTGTTAGTCATTCTTTATTCTTGAAGGAGAAAAGACAGAGGAACAATCTTGGAATAGACATTCAATAATGATAGTAAGCTCATGTTGGCACTACACTTTGGCATCAAACTTTGATCTGTGGCCAAAACTTTGTTGAAAATTATTTATGTCTTATACGTGGGCAACTCCTTTTCAAATTCTTTGGACAATACAAGTCATTTGTAGAGCTCCAATTGTCTGCGTGGGTATGCAGGCAATCACCTGACTGAACATTAAGTTTTGTTTAAGAAAAATGTTATGACATCTTAGAAAAGTACAGTCCAATAGAACTTTGTGAAATGGAAATGTTCTATAGCTGTGCTATCTAACACAGTAACCACTACCCACATGTACCTATGAGGACTTAAAATGTGACCAGTGAGATTGAGGAACTGATTTTTAGATTTCAGCTAATTTTCATGGATTAAAATTTAAATTTAAATATCTGTGGCTAATCGCTATCATATTGTACAGAGCAGTCATAGAAGACAGAGGAGCAATATGGACGTTATACATTATCTGGTATGTATATCTCATCACCTTGAGAATTTGTAATATCTATCTTTTAAGATTACTGTCATTTCACATGAAATAATTAAAAGACTGATGAATGGCCAAAAAAAGGCGTTACTTAAAAATAATTAAAGTAAGAAAGTTAGTCATTACTTTGTTCTTTGATGACTGACACATAGTAGATGTTCAATAAATACTTCCTATTGTTAAAAGAATAAAAAGAAAAAGACAATGAACATGCTGTTCTTGGATTTTTTGATCTACATAAACTTGCTTTCATTTGCTTGGAAAAGCAAAGGTCCATTCAAATTTCAGGCAAACATAAGACTAAATTCTAAATATACAAGCACAAAATATGCAAACAAATACATAAAATCGAAACTAGCATATTCTTTTTCGAAGATGTATTATAGTCATGAGTTTGATCTTTGGGTCTGAAAGTCAAGAACTTAAGAGTATTTACTTGTTCATTTTATACTATATGATATATGCTAGTTTCTCCTTAAAGAACCTCTAATAATACTGTATAATCTCCCTGTACAGCTCTCATTAAAAATATAATTACTCTTGGGGTGGCCCCATGGTGTGGTGGTTAAGTTCATCAGGCTCTGCTTCAGTGGCATGGGCTCACAGGTCTGGGTCCTGGGTGTGGACCTATACCACTTGTCTGCCATGTTGAGGTGGCAATCCACATATAAAGTGGAGGAAGATTGGCACAGATGTTAGCACAGGGCTAATCTTCCTCAGCAGAAAAAAAGAAAAAAGATAGAATTACTCTCTTAATTAATGTAAAGTTGTTAGTAACAATATCATTGTTAAATACTTAGATTATCATTGATTCTTCTCTCCTCTTAGCTAGAATTTAATTTCGATTACATTAGTAAAATATGTTTACCCACCACCATATCCCCAGTGCCTAGAAGAATGTTGTGACCATAATAGTCACTCCATATTGGCATGCCAAGAATTAACAAAATTGTATTAAGTTCCACAGATTTTTATGAAGTGCTATTTAGAAACCGGTTTTCCTAGTCATAAATGAGACATTCTAAATTTAAACCTTCCTAAAAGCCTTTTGAAATATCATTACAGAAATAAAATTATCATTAATTACTATGTTTATTTAGATCAAATTATAACAAACACTATAGTTATTTAATTTAATATTATTATTATAAAATTCTATATTTTCTTAAATTGTGCAGTTGAAAAATAGATTTGTTTGCTAATTTTCAGACTTGTAAATAGATATGAGATGAAAAATGCTTCCCTTGCTATATACTTTATTAAAAGAAAAGCAGATTGTTTATTGGTTTATAGGAATAAAGTATGAATAGAATGCTCATTTTAGTTGTATGAATTAAAAATGACATTACCAATACACATTGCTTTTTTAAAAAAATCACATTGGAGCTAACTGATGACTTTAATTAATAGTTCTGAAATGCCACCTTAAATTTTGTAATAAACATGTAATTCTTCCACCAAGATATATTATGGTTCTGGATTTGAATAAAAGTGTAAATGACTCTCAGGACAAAAGAAAAAGTCCAAAAATTTGCATAAATATCTTCAAGTAATTCATGAGGAAAAAGACAGTTGTACTTGAGTATTGTACAAAACTATATATAGGCAATTATAACAACTTGGAAAATTGAAAAAGATAATAGGAATAGATAATCTCATCATATATTCTAGTGTTCCCTGAAAACTTGATATCATTTATTAGTTTGTAACTTTTAGGATTTTATTTTAGACACTGGCATGACAAAACTTATGAACAAAACCCCTCAGATATTATCTTGTTCTTTTATGATAGAGCACATAAATGAGAGATCAATAACTGATCCTCACCACGTGTCAGTAACTTTTATGTTAAAAAATGGATTGGAGAATTAAAAATTACAATCGTGCATTGCGTGCATGCGTGTACACGCAGGAGGTCTTAAATCACCCACGTGCTGGGAATCTTAAGGCCTTCTGATCTTTTCTTCACAGCCTCCAGTACTTTTTTATCTTATTCATTTCTGTCAAAGTGCTACAAGTAACATAGGATAAGACCGCCCCTGAGAGTCAGTCAACACTACTCCTCCATCAGCTAGCAAGATCACTATTTATCTGTGCAGGGTTCATCTTATTGCAGTCCAAATAGGGGACTTTTTACAATTCGTATTTCCTTTTAATGAAATTGGACTTTATCAAAATTAAGATGTTTGACTATTTAAAAGACTTGTTAAGAGTGTGAGACCCTTTGTGTGCTGATAAGCAGCAGCACTTGAGAGCCCATGTGCAATGAGCAAGTATTTTACAGTTTCGTATTAGTTGAACCACCTCCTTGGAGGTTTTGGGGGAAGCCAGAACCAGAGGAGACTGTTTTTAAATATTCCTATAAGCTGACTTCATGAACATAAAAGGAATATAGTTGCTGTTCCAAGCTATCCTTTCCAATTTAACATGTTTACATGTGAGTTTCTGTCCATTGTGCTTGCTTGTTAAAAAAGTTAATTAAATAGCATTATGTTGCTAATCTCCAAGAAAATTTCATTTTTGACACTTGTTTCTGTAAAAAATAAAAAGGAAATTCTGTGTATTTTACACAGGGTTTTATTTTTTATCAGAGTTCGTCTATTTTCTCCCTCTGCCAAAGGGTCTGGCTGTATTTATTAGATGTGATATATGTGCTATTGTCTTGGATGAATATTTTATGCTTGATTGTTACTTTTGGTGGTGAAAAGGCATCCTGGACAACTGGAGTCTACAGTAAAATATTTTGGTTCATTTGGAACAACCATGATTAGTTTTCTGATGACTTCATTCATCATGTGAAACAGTGATAGTTCCTTTTAAAATTCTATATACTTCTTCCTTTTGAAAATTTTAATAGTTTACATAAATGAGTGACATTTATTATCATAAAATGCTATGACCTGAAAAGCCCTCAGAACATCTTCTAGCACAATTTTCTAATTTTACAAGTGCCTAGAGATATTAAGCAACTTGCTTGAGATCACAATATTAGTTACAGGCAGAGTTGAGACTTAGAATTCAAGTCTTCGGGCATTTATTTCTGACCTGATCCTGTGTCATGTGGCTTCAAGAAATTGAAAATTCGTCTCATTACATAATAACATAAGTTTAAATATGTTTTCATTCTATCTTTTCCAGGGTCAAAGTATTTTTGGGCTCGATGTCATTGAAACCCCAGAAGGAGACAAGATGCCACAACTGATTGTTCAAAAAGAATTAGATAGAGAAGAGAAGGATACATATGTAATGAAAGTAAAGGTTGAAGATGGTGGTTTTCCTCAAAGATCCAGTACCGCTATTCTGCAAGTAAGTGTTGCTGATACAAATGACAACCGCCCAGTCTTCAAGGAGAATGAAATTGAAGTCAGTATACCAGAAAATGCTCCTGTAGGTACTTCAGTGACACAGCTCCACGCCACAGATGCTGACATAGGTGAAAATGCCAAGATTCAGTTCTATTTCAGCAATCTAGTGTCCAACATCGCCAAGAGGCTATTTCACCTCAACACCACCACTGGACTTATCACAATCAAAGAACCCCTGGATAGGGAGGAATCACCAAACCACAAGTTACTGGTTTTAGCAAGTGATGGTGGATTGATGCCAGCGAGAGCAATGGTGCTAGTAAATGTTACAGATATCAATGATAACGTTCCATCAATTGACATAAGATACATCATCAATCCAATCAATGGCACCGTGGTTCTTTCAGAAAATGCTCCACTCAACACCAAAATTGCTCTCATAACTGTGACAGATAAGGATGCTGACCATAACGGTAGAGTGACATGCTTTACAGATCATGAAGTCCCTTTCAGATTAAGGCCAGTATTTAGTAATCAGTTCCTCCTAGAGACTGCTGCATATCTTGACTATGAGTCCACAAGAGAATATGCCATTAAATTACTGGCTGCAGATGCTGGCAAACCTCCTTTGAATCAATCATCCATGCTCCTCGTCAAAGTAAAGGATGAAAATGACAATGCTCCAGTTTTCACCCAGCCTTTCATAAGTCTTTCTGTTCCTGAGAATAACTCTCCTGGCACCCAGCTGACAAAAATAAGTGCAACGGATGCAGACAGTGGGCGTAATGCTGAGATCAGTTACCTGCTAGGCATTGATGCTCCATCTGAATTTAATCTGGATCGTCGTACAGGCATTCTGACTGCAGTGAAGAAACTGGATAGAGAAAAACAGGAAAAATATTCCTTCACAGTTCTGGCAAAAGATAATGGGATTCCACCCTTAACGACCAATGCCACAGTCTTAGTGACTGTTCTTGATCAGAATGACAACAGTCCAATTTTCACTCACAATGAGTACAACTTCTATGTCCCAGAAAACCTTCCAAGACATGGCACAGTAGGACTAATCACTGTAACTGATCCTGATTATGGAGAAAATTCTGCAGTTACTCTCTCCATTTTAGATGTGAATGATGACTTCACCATTGATCCACAGACTGGTGTCATCCAACCAAATATTTCATTTGATAGAGAAAAACAAGAATCTTATACTTTCTATGTAAAGGCTGAGGATGGTGGTAGGGTATCACGCTCTTCAACTGCCAAAGTGACCATAAATGTGGTTGATGTCAATGACAACAAACCGGTTTTTGTTGTTCCTTCTTCCAACTACTCCTATGAATTAGTTCTACCATCCACTAATCCAGGCACAGTGGTCTTCACGGTGGTTGCTGTTGACAACGACACTGGAATGAATGCAGAACTCCGTTACAGCATTGTAGGAGGAAACACAAAAGGTCTGTTTATAATCGACCAAACAACAGGCAACATTACACTGAAGGAGAAATGTGTTGTTTCAGACCTTGGTTTACACAGACTGGTAGTCAAAGCTAAGGACTTAGGCCAACCCGATTCTCTCTTCAGTGCTGTGATTGTTAATCTATTCGTGAATGAGTCAGTGACCAATGCTACCCTGATACATGAACTGGTACGCAAAAACATTGAAACACCAGTAACCCAAAATATTGAGACAGCTGATGCATCCTCACCAACCAGTGACTATGTCAAGATCATGGTTGCCATTGTTGCTGGCACTATAACTGTCATTCTTGTTATTTTCATCACTGCTGTAGTAAGATGCCGCCAATCACCACACCTTAAGGCTGCTCAGAAAAACAAACAGAATTCTGAATGGGTTACTCCAAACCCAGAAAACAGGCAGATGATAATGATGAAGAAAAAGAAGAAGAAGAAGAAGAAGCATGCCCCTAAGAACTTGCTGCTTAACTTTGTCACTATTGAAGAAACTAAGGCAGATGATGCTGACAACGATGGAAACAGTGTCACACTAGACCTTCCCATTGAGCTGGAAGAGCAAACCATGGGCAAGTACAACTGGGGCACTACACCTACTACTTTCAAGCCTGACAGCCCTGATTTGGCCCGGCACTACAAATCTGCCTCCCCACAGCCTGCCTTTCAGATCCAGCCGGAAACTCCTCTGAATTCGAAGCACCACATCATCCAGGAACTGCCTCTTGATAACACCTTCGTGGCCTGTGATTCCATCTCCAAGTGCTCCTCCAGCAGTTCTGATCCCTACAGTGTTTCTGAGTGCAGCTATCCAGTGACAACTTTCAAGACCCCTGTGTCTGTACACACCAGACCGGTAGGTAATCCAAGTTTCTAACTAACCTTTCTAACTATATTTTTAAAAGTTAGTTTCAGTTGAAATAGAACTTTACAGAATCTATTGACTCAACCAGGGATCGAAATAATCATATTGTGAAGAAGTATCCAAACAGATATATGGATTCATTTTAAGTTTGGTAGAAAATCAGCACAAAATGACTCATGCTTGTGGGAAAACTGGGTGTAGAATGATGATTATGATAGGGGCAGTGTTGTCTGTAGATGGCAGTATGACATTTCTTGCTGGGGAATGTACTGGAAAAACACAATAAAGGGTTGTGGCACTGTCCTCAGTACCATTGTGTGCATGAGCATCAGAACAGTTGGGACTGGGTGCATCACAGTAAAGCTTTGAAGAAGCGAGTCTTAATAATGGTGTTGAGAATCTCAATTTCACTTTGGAAAAAATCTGTGTCTGCCCAAGATAATCAAATAGCATCAAGATATCTTCCTTACACGCCATGGCCCCAAGACCCACAATGAAAAGAGAGTGTCATTTTCAGATTAGGAACTCACTATTTTCTGGTTCTTAAAATCTATATCCACACAATGCAGCAAGAATGGGATTAGGAAAAGGAAGTCATGCTATTCACTCTCATTTTCAAGCCAGAGAATGAAATATATATGAGATCTCTATTTTAGATATCCATTTAAGTATTTGCCTATTTATGCAAGGTATTGAGAGCCCTTCAGGAGACGTTCTTAAAAGATAATGACTTTTCGAAAATGAAATATGTTTGCTTTCTCTAATGGGCCCGAAGGAAAATATGGGCGTATTAAGACCCAAGAAATCTATGTACAATAATTTAACACCCAATAAAGTTATGAAAACAACAGTTTATATAGTGCTTTTTATCTGTATTCAGTGGAGAAATGAATAAAAATTTATCTAGCAAAACATGAGTAAATTAAATGATTTAAGTATGGTTATTTCCTTAATAAAGTCAAATGATGGAATTTATCTACATTTTTTCTCTCGAAGTCATGCCACTTGTTGACTTTATCATTTTGTCTGTGTTATTCTTACAAAGTTCTTCATCTCAGTTTCAGTAAATAAAGGTTTTTGAAACCCTATTCAGGCTTAATAAAATAATAGTAATATGAAAGAGAATAAGTTTTCTCTCATCAAAGTTAGAGATATTAAAGTCTGTCAGGATTCAAACTAACAATGAAAATAATTTTCCGTAGTTTAGGACATAGTTTTAGGGATTGAGGTCATTTAAAGGTATGCATAGTTCGATTATACGATAACATTAACCTTTCTCTCTTAATCACACAGTAAAGGTAAGATAGTAATTCAGTTGTGGGTGCAGTTTTTGTTACAATAGGTCCATAATTATGTTATTTCAAGTGGTAAAATAGAACCCTACCCTCTTTGTAGAAAGTTTTGTTATGCTTAGAATGGGTTTACAGGGCAGTGGTTATTTCTACATTCGAAGGAGCCCCATGTTTTCCTACCAAGGTGGATCTTAGATGGGTGACAAACATGATAGATGCCTAACATCTCCTCAGGGTGTGTTTTTGTTTATATTTAACCATTCAAAAGGGATCTCTCATTTTCTAATTCTTATTGTTATTATTTTGTTTCTTGGAAACATTTCTCAACAGAAAAATATCCTTTATTTGTGTTGTGTATCCTAACAGCACTTTTCCCTGGGCTAGATTTGTGACTCCCTTGACGCTGTATACAAAAGGTGGGGTTTGTGAATTACGTTTGAAGATCCTCACTTTTAATAGATCGATCCGTGAAGTTAGTTAAAAGAGCAAATTCTCGTTTCAATCATTTATGAAGGCATAGAGATCTTTTATGAGCTAGATATTTTATTTGAGTATCTGAACATACAGTAAACAAGGCATGGATGAAAGAAAAAATGGAAGCATTTTCCAAATACTTTTTTATGTTTTGATATTTTGTAATCCTTAAAAAGTCAATAAAATTAACTTTTTTCATGATGGCTTTTTATTTTATTTAACTAAGACATCTTTTCCTAGACACAAGACAAATCATTTCATGAGATAGGCAAAATATTAAAAATAAATACTAGTGAGAATGAGTTCTTGGTTATTGTTAGGTTTTTATTAGCTAAAAGGACTATCTTAGAATCAATGAATTCTCAGATGACTTATTCTATTTTTTCACCTCTTAAAAATAGGTAAATTGTATAATTTACATCATTGGCTCACAGTTGTTTCAGATTAATTACTAAATATCTTCTGGACATGAATTGGTGAACTTAGGTAGACTGATATGACACTAAAAAAGTTTGAATTCTTATATTTTGTGCTACATTTGCAATGTTTTCACCCTTTCCATATACTCTTCAATTTCTGTTTAATTCCAGAAGAGGCATCTTATATTCACCGAGGTTGCTAATAAGATAAGTGAACACAGAAAAAGAACTTATGTACTTAAAAATTCAAATATAGTAGGTGCCTTCTTTTTAAAGTAACATCATACAAAATGGGGAAATGTGTCAGCCAACACAATAAAAATTCACTGTTCCTGAGGAAATTCTGACAGTGGAATAAAGTATTGCTGTTAGCAGAAGGCAGAAATATTCCAATTGATTTTAAACAAAGTAAGAAATACGTTTCTAAAAGGAGAGTTTAGGATGATATTTACATTTAGTTAATTACTCATCTTAATAGAAATATGAAAGTGAAGAAATGAAATAGTTATAGCAGGCTGTAGGTTACAAGGGAATTTATCAGAAATTTCATATTTTAAAAAGTGAATAAAATATTTTCTATAGATTTTACTTCTAACTCTGAAGTTCTGAAAAAATATGGAACATTCATTAGATAGAAATGCATCTATGCACAAAACCATTTATACCTGGTGATTATGATGCCCCTCTTTGGCATACATTTTTAAAGCATTCAGGAAGGCATTTTTGTATATATTGTAGTAGAAATGAAAAACATGAAATTTAAAAGATGATTCTACACTTTCCCTTCTATTAACATCTTTCAGAGCTAGCAGATAGACTTTGGTTGGTATGATTCTAGAAAAATAATAAGCGTAGTCGTTTTAGAATTAATTTTGAAAATTGTCATATAAAAGAGATGCTGCCCAAACCAAGTCTTGCTTAACAGAACTCTCCCATTAAAATATTGTGAAGACTACATACTTCTGATATCGAGAGGAGAATAAAAATGAAAGTTCCATTTTTTTTAAGGGTCTTCAATGTACCTGTTACTGTCTTAGATGTGTATTTGAGGTCCTTCATTTCCAAAAAAAGAAAAATTGTAACAAATTTCTATGATTGGAGTTGGGATAGTCTTGCAGTTTCGGAAATGAGGTAAAAGCAGTGGTGGAATGTTTGCACGGTTATAATTCGTGGATGTAACCACGCTATAGGTATTATACATGGATTCAAAATGGTAACAGGAGTCTGACTTAGCTTGTAATAGGGTTGGTATTGACTACTGTTAAATTCAGTAACTTTGATTTTGTGCATCTGTATTTTAGTAATGTGAATTTTAGCTACATAGCATGCTTGGCAACTTAGACTCCTAGAACACAACCATCTGATTTTGATAACGTGTTATTTTTCTTGTCCTAGACTGATTCCAGGACATCAACTATTGAAATCTGCAGTGAGATATAACTTTCTAGGAACAACATAATTCCATTCCCCTTCCAAAAAATTCCAATGATTTGCGAATTTCAAAATTTGGCCAAGATCATTAATTTCCTAATCTGGATTTCTCATTATAAAGGCAAGAAAAACAAAAACCACCTTAAAAATAATGTCCCACTGAACCTTATGCTTACTTTAGCTGCAATCTTCCAATCAAAATTTAAAATTTGTGGAAGAAACAGTTCAGTGTAATAACAGAGTTGAATCATGCTGTTTCTCCATTTGCTTGCTCTGAATGTCAACAATTGTGATGTAATATAATGCTGTCTTGGTGTACAAACTGATGGTTAATATGTCAATAATGAAACATGGAACTACTTGCCATGTCTGATTTCTGAAGAGGTTAAACATCATCTCCGGGAGTTTGGAAGTGAAGCTGAGCTATCCAAGCTACCCTCTGAAAGGTATCCAAGGCAAGAGATTTTTTTATGACCAAAAACGCAACAACATTTAAATTCATTTTTTTGAAAATATTCACTAATATGGTGTTGCTGAGAAAATAATTATAATTACCCATCACTCTTCTTAAAAGTTGAATGATATAAAATAATCTTATTGGGTTTTTGTGTTGATCGTAATCATGTTGTTCCACTACGTTAGTCATTAAAAATTATTTTTGTTGTAATCATGTTTCCTTTTTCTATAAATACTGAAAAAGAAAGAAGTTCTTTCCGTTTTTATGTATCAAAAGGAGAATGTAAAGTTCATTATACTCCCTGATGTTTTGAAAAAAAATAGTAATGATATTTCTTGGATAATGAAACATAATTACAGTCATATGAGAGTAGAAACAAAGGTTTAAATAGGATATTTTAAAATATTTTATCTTAATTTTGAAAACACCTATGAAAATATAAGGTCCTAGAGTCACATCTAAATAGATATATTTTATTTCTCTGGCATTAAATTACTGAACATATTTCATTGCTTTGAGTAATTTGCCCTTTAACATTAACTCATTTTTCACAATATGTTAATTAATTCATTTCATACACAAACGACTAAATGCCTCAAATTAGGTGTACATTAAATTTGTTGAGGAAAGAATGATGTATCCCAATCTTATGCCATATTCTTTAAGCTGCTTTTGACTTATTAACACTACTAACAGAATTTTTGAAAGAAACGTGATTTCTTGAGACAAAAAGGGAGTATAAAGGACCCTAATAATCATGACATAACATATGTTTCTTGGATTTTCATTCAAATGCTTCATTGTGTATCATATTACCTCGCAAAGTGTTAATAGGATTTGGCCTATTATGTATGTATATTAAATTAGTGTATTATTTGAAGTGTTCTTTGATGTAAAGGTATTTAGAAGAGGTTTATGCTCCATTTAGCATTTCAAATTAGTGTAATTATTGGATATTTGGTATGTAAGTAATATTTTAAACAGGTTTCTGTTAAAATTTAGTGTTCCCATTTACTCAATACAGAATCCCTTGTATCTCCAGTGATGTCAAGTTCCTTGAACATACTTTCTATTTGGCTTTTTAACATTACTTAGTTAATTATAATGACTGTGAGTGTAGCTATTTTACTGGTAATAATAAATGTCGTGTAAGCTACAATATTATATTGCATACTTATAAACAACTATTGTAGAAAAATACTTAAAATTAAATTTTACCTTTGTGAAAGTTACTCACATAGAATAACTTTATAATTTTCTCCTATTTCTTCTTGATAAATTAGTGTAATTCAAATAAATTAAGATCAAAATTGAGCCAACGTATAATACCCCTAGAGTCAGTGCTCTGCAGGTACCAAGACATACTAAGAGTAGGAGTTTCCAAAATCCATAGTCTCAGTTTGGTTGGGAACAAAATGATGCCCGAGAAAATGAATCAACATTTCAAGTGTCCCATAATAAACTACTGTGACCTCCTGACCATTTGTACACGCAATTATTATATAAATGCATTTTAAGTGGTGCATGACGACCACCCTGATCTCTCCTTTTCTCCATACTCTATGAGCTAAGGGAGAATACCTCATTTTTCTTCCTATTCAGTGACCCTTCCCTTTATGACTGTAATAAGAAAAACTCCTAATCACTCCTTTGTATACATAAAGATGAAAATGTCTTGAAATAGTTATCCAGAATCTCTAAATAAAGCATTCCTCAATAGTTCTATGAGTGTCATCTTTGCAAAGATGAAACCAAAAACTATTTTTAAAGCTGTAAGTGACTCCATCCCTCAGAATACAACTTCTGTAGGAAAGGAACTTCTCAACTGATTTCTTCCCTGCTCTTTAAGGCTAAAATACTTACCTATTTAGAATAATGATGAGTGAAATTTAACCATATTTAAAAGTCTGCCATAGATGAAAATGGATCCTACTTTTGTTAATTAACTAGGCTTGATCTGTCCTTTATTTATGTTTGAGGAAATATTACCATTTGAGAAGAGTATGGACAGCATTGAAACCAGTTTTCCACAAAAGCCAGAGAGAACGAAAATATGTATTTTCCTACCCGGTTCCTTCTTATCAGTTGATTTGGTGGCACTTTTAATTTAATTACGATTATTATTACATTTTGGCTTACAAAGTCTCAGATATCTTCCCATCTCTTGTGTTGGCATTATTGGACTCCTGGAATATTCCCAATGAAATGTCCTTCACGGTCTCTCTAGCTCTTATTCTAGTCAGTGAATAAAGACAGAAGGAAAACATATCTTAAGACTAGTCGTCACAGACAAAGAAAAGGAACTTTTAGTGCACTTAGTCTATTGAATCATAAGTAGACTATCTAATTGGTAAACTACAATGTACCGTATGCTTTCACCATTGCAATCACTCAAAGAAGTAATTTCTTTTGATTAAAATGCAAAGTGCATAAATTGAAAAAAAGTTGGTGAAATACATTCCCTCATTTTACTTTAAATATGGAAGTTTATTTTTACAAATAGGATCATTCAAGCCGTTACGTTTCTCAAACTATTTTTATTTTCAATAATTTAAATTTAAAAATTTATAAGGCAATTTTAATTCTAGCCATCAGTTAATCTTTTATGTCTGCATCTTCTGATTTTTTTGTTGACTACCCTGTCCACATTATCAATGAGAATACATGTACTTCAGAATAATTTTTAAAAGTTGAATTTAGATTCAATCAATTAACCGTTATTTTGTACAGTATTTACTAATCTTTTAATTTCAACACAAAATAATACTGCCTCATTTTATTATTTTGTTGCCTGTACTCGTCACTGTCCAATTAGATTTTGTAACTGTGTGTCTAGTCAGGTGTGATACGAAGCCTGATCTTAACAGAAATGATACAGGACAAGCAAATCTTAAAAAATCTTTTGTGAACTTAAAACACACTCTGTAAATGCTTCCTATAGGTGCTCTTGTGTAATAGACATGTTTTCCTAGATTTTGTGAAGCTTAGTTTTTGTCTCTTTTAAATATTATTCATATTTAGGTTTCTAGCATATTCAAAGGTGCTGTGATGATATAAAGCTGTATGTGTTGTATATAATTACCATTTTTAAAAAGAACTATTGTGCATTTTATTTTTTCATGCATTATAGGTATCCATACATGACATCCATGGTTTTATGCGGTATTTAGAATTAGGAGTAGATTTTTTTTAAATTCTAGGGTAGCCATAGGCTTTTATTTTTACTGCACATGCAATACACATTCATTGTCGAAAAATTTAGGAAATTATAGATAGATTTTAGATGAAGGATTTTAAAATTATTTGTTTTTATTTCAAGCTATATCAGCAAGTTTTTCTTTATAACTTAGTAATTGTGTTTAAAGGCTCTGTAACCTTTGCAAGTGGTGCACTTTAAAATTACAGAATTATTCTGTTCTTTTTATATTATAAACTTTACATGCAGGATTTTTTACACATAGTGGTAATTGACTTTATTATGCATATTGTTTATTTTTATAGATGTTGGTTGGAAAAATTCATGTAATAGTATAGCTTGATTAGTTGATAGTGTAATACACAGGCATACTATGTATCTCCACCATGAGACTAACCCCTTTTCAGTAAAAAGATCAAATTTTGGTGAAAAAACTTTTTTAGTTAAAAGGAACGCCTTCTTAATATCTGTTCCTGTAGAATGAAAAAGCAAGTTTATTTCCAAGAATTCTCATAACCAACTCTTACCTTTTTCATATTCTAGATATTCTCAATTAAAATTGGTTTAGCTGTCCTTTTTAAGTGGTTAATTACATTTAATTATCCACACATACAAAAGTAATTGTCAAGTGAAACAATCACAATTCATTAGGTTTCAGATAGTCAAATTGGCGTAATAATGAAAATGAAGTATTTCAGTGGATATTCTAGAAATATTTGCACTTTTTCCCTTGTCCTGGAGCCTTATATTTATTAATTATTCATTGATTTACTTCATAAAATGTTATTCTCTTTAAAATGCCGTTGACTTTTAAAAGCATTTTTATTTTTTTTGTCTTACTACGTGGCAAAAACATTAGATAACAAAATAATGTTTTCATTAGATACTTAGAAAAAGTTTACACAATACTACTTTTAATCTATTTGGTGGTAATTAGAAGTAAATGAATATACAACTCTGCTGAAAAATATTATTTTCAGAAATCCATAAAATAAACTTTAAAATATTTACTTGTTTTATTACTTATCAGTTCTAACCTCAATTTCAAAATCAATGCAGATCAACATTTCAATGAACCTTTATAACTAAAGAGAATTGATCATAAACATTATCACTTTATGCAAAAATATTCCCAGTAATTCAATACAATTCAAATAGTTGTTCAGTGTCACAACCTTGAAGTAATTAAAATTTTTGAAAAAATTTACCAGTTCTTTTAGTATGTAAACACAAGCCTAGTCTCATATTCAAGGTGGGAAAATCACACACACACACAAAATGGAATTGCATGGACTCTGGAAAACTAATTTATGAGCTCCTAAATTAGACATTATATTTCATTATTAATTTTATTCCTTTGATCGCATCACTCAGAACTGTGTATTGGGTGCCTTTTTTTGCAGAAAATTGTATACCTTTATTTATGATGTTCAGAGTGAATAATTACATTTTTTCACACAGATACAGTTATTCAAGAGAAGGTGCTGAGTTCACTTCCAGATAGGTGTCATGGCTTTGTCTACATGATTCCAAAACTTCTGGAGGCAAAATACAATCTTTCACTAAACATGGGGATATTTTGTCTACCTGACAAAATTGTTTGACTCTGTAAAGACACAGACTTTATCTAATACTACAGAATAATATCAGAACCGTTTCATTTTAGATAGGAAAAAAGAGCTTGACGTCTTATATAAAGTTATCTTATCTTTAACTGAATCTAAGGTAATTGATAACATTTAGCAACAAAATTCAAGACGGTGCTACAATTCAACTTTACATATATAAATTTTCGTTGTTTATAAGGCTATACAAGTATTTATTTCAAAATGCACACAAATTATAGAAATGATAGGGAACATGCAACTAAGTATTTTCAGGTATGAGAATTGACAGATAAACATACCAAACTCTAGAAATTAATATACCTAATCATGTCTAGAGAAAAATTCATTTGAATTTGGTGTTGAAGTAGTTGTAATATAGTGGGATTAAAATGGGCTATCGTGTGTATGAGCATATATATGTTTGCATATAGTAGGTGTATATATTTATGTTTGTCAAATTTCTAGCAGAGAAAAGTGATATAAACGTCAAGCTAAAGACAACTTGTTCAAAGATTATATATCTACATTTATGATGTCATTCCCTCTCTTTTTAAACTCTTGTGCCTCACTTCTGAACTACAATCATCCTGTATCCCTTATATCTTCCTATACATCACCTTTCATTTAATAAAGCTCTTGTCATATTTAGTGCATCGCAAGCACGTACTCACGTCTTTTTTACTTTTAATCAAATTGTTTTGCTTCTAATGTAACTGCAGTATTTCTCTTCATAGAGTTTCCCTGTTTTCTGAATCATCACAGATCAAGTAACATTAAATTATACATTAAAAAGTTAAATTGCTTTTTCCTAAGTACCAGTGCAGATTCTACTTCTTCTGCACAAAAAGAGCTAACATAAATTTGCCTTCAGTAATAGTCAACTTCTGCTCAGTTGGTATAACTAAAACCTATACAAAAAACTCCATTACAATAATCCTCTCTATTTTGCATTAATACCTTATTTAATTTTAATACTTAGGAAACCAAAAACGAGATAGGCAGTTCTCTGTTAGTGCTCTGTACAGTGTCAGATTTTCAATTTCTTATGTCTCCAACTTTGTGGGTTTATGTTTCCATCAAAAGGCTAAGATATGGATTTACTATAATCATATACATGCATACATATCTACCTATCTATGGATATACACACATACATTTTTATAAACAGATCAGTGTGAACTATGGATTGACGTAAATCATGAAAATATTTATGAGAATAAGTTCAGTTTTCAGATTGGGCAATGTGTACATTTTATTATCATTTCTGTTTTTGAGTGGAGCTAGTACTAAGAACAGTGATTGAAGAAAAGCTGTGTAACATTAAAATTTTGAAGATTTAAAATATAAGAGCATTCACAGCAGTCACTTGTAAAATTTTGGTTTTGCTTTGTTATTTGCAGCTGTAATTTAAAAAAAATAAACAGGTTTTTGTGTGAATATAGTAGAGTGAATATTATAGAGTATCTTTCAACTGGAATACATGTAGATACTAACACTGGCTGTATTTGATGTAATTTCAGTGCATAAAGTGTGTGTAATCTGTATGAAGTGAAATACCTATAAATAAAGTTGTTTCTGCATTGCAATAACATATCTTCTGATATTTTTTGAAGTGCTTCTTGTTAGCAGGGCCTACCAATGTCATTAACATCATCTAAGATTCTAAAATAATTTTTAGCACACTAACATCCTACAGTTTCATGTCATAACTCATTATCTGCGTTGTATTAAGCAGAGCTTTATATACTGGCGTTCCTGTTCACCAACATTGGGAGATAACTTGTCTTTTTCAATTAACCCAAAGCAATGAAGTAGACAGAAATGACTCATATTTCCTAAAGTTTTAGCTTTGTGCATTTTATTGTAGTCATATTATTTGAATATTGGCAATATGGTATCACTTATTAACCACCATATTTCATAGAACATGCTAGATAATGGCGTTTACCATGAGTTCAAATGAGATTAAATATTTCTCAAATTCCTACTATGAGCAACACAATGTAGAGAATCACGGTCGTTGTGGTGAGGTATGAGGTATAAGTCGGTAGGGATGTGGGACAATCAAGGTTCTCCCCTGGTTTAGTGTAAAAAGCTCCTCATCCAAGGAGTTTAACTGAAAGTATGTTTAAAAAACACTTTTGTTTTCTTCCAGTGCAGAAAATTTCTGAGTATATGAGGTTAAAAAAAGAAAAGGAAAAGAAATATTAAAAGAAAACATAAAAGCACATTAAAGTAACAAAATACAAAAACATCAGTTTTTATCATAATAATTAGGGGGGGTGTGTGTGTGGGGGTGAGTCTGTGTGTGTGAATACCGCTAGTAAAGTATCTCGCAAGTATGTATTAGGTACTCATTCCAAATTTCTTGAAATCTGAGCTGAGCAAGCACGTACCTGACCCATTTTAGGAAGCGTCAAACTCATAAACACTTTCTTTTCCTCGGTCACATCCAAGTAGCAACCAAATCCTGTTTATCTTGCCTGTAAAATGCCTCTGACATTTGTCCCTTTGCCACTTCCTTATTCAGGTCCTCATCATGAGTTACCTGTTCCACTATTAATAGGTTGTCCTGCTCCCTACTTTCATTTGTCCAATTCATTTTCTACCCTGTACCCAGAATACTCCATCTAAAACACAGATCTGACCAAGTGAAGTCTATGACAGAAACGCTTCCAAGACTTTCCCCAGTGCATATAGAATAAAACTTTAATTACTGTACTTTTCAAGGGATTTTACAATCTTAAGCAGGTCTAACTGTTCATCCATATCTCTTACTACTCCTTGTGTCCCATATTTTTGTCACATTTACTTTACCCTTTGTTCCTTCACCATACCACGCACTTTCATGCTTCCATAAATCTGAACAATTTACTAGAACTGTATTAGAGCACTTCCTTTGGTTAAGACACTGCTGTTGGGACAACAAATATAACTAAGCCGTGGTCTATGAAACAGAAGTGTAATTGTGGAGACAAGGCAAGAAAACAAACATTTTTAATAGCAGACAGAATATGATAAAAATGAAAGAGTGCTACCTGTGATTACATTAAAAATGAAAGAAGCCTGGATGGCATCCTTTTCTTCAATATCTTTCCTGTTTCTTAACATTAACCTTACATAATTCTTATAAAATTAAAAACCTCAAGTAAATGACTAGATTATATCACCTTTCAAACATTAGTTTCTAGAAACTATTTCCGGAAAATTGCTGTTACATCATTTTTTTCCATTAATTTTAGAAAGATTTTAAATATTTACCTCAGATATTTTAATTCTTGTTACATTTCCTGGCCATGAGTTACACTTAAAATAAAAATTATCAAAGGGAAAATTTAACCCATTTGTTGATCTTAACATAATTCGTATACCAAGAGACCAGAACCATATAATGCTTCAAAGGGAAAATTTAACCCATTTGTTGATCTTAACATAGTCCATATACAAGAGACCAGAACGACATACTTCTTTTTTATGCATTTTAGCAAAAAGAAACATATCAATGTGACATTTCTTCAAAGAAAAATATGGCAAGAAAAAGGCTTTCTTGTCCTCAATATAGGAACATTTTCCATGGTGAATCATAATGAACTGATTTGACAACTCTGGTTTAAATGTGCTTGTGTATACGTAAATACTATCACTGAAGTACTGAGATGAAATGGTCACCCCAACTAGAAATCATTTTATCTCTTTCCCTCCATGCTCAAAATGAAAGCTAGCAACTTTGTGAAAACAGGAACAGATGGAGAAAACCACGGGATATCAAATGTAGATAAAGTCCAAATTATAACATGGTAGATTGCCCTGAAAATTCAGAAACTACATATCCCTATTCAAAACTAACATATAAACACGTGATACATAACTGATATATGAAGATATGTATATATCTTTCTGGAATGCACTTCTTGGCACACGTACTGAAAGCAATACACCACCTTCTTCCTAGAAATAGACAAGATGAAAATAAACCACATAGTTCTTAAATTAGCCCTTTTTCTTTTGTCTTTATTATGATAGAAAAATTCTTTCTAAGTTGCATGCATAGGGTTTTGTTTGGGTTAGTTTCTCTTTCATATCTTTGCCAGACAGTCTTATATCAGGAAGCTAGAATGCCAACATTACCATAAAACATTTCCATATTACCTGATGATGGTTTACAAAAATTCATTACTTATTTTACCTTTTTATGTAGAGGGAATGAATATCATCATGGGTAAGGAAATAATGTTTCTTCAGCTCAGTTATAATTATTGAGAATTTTCCAACCATCACAGATGAAATGAAAGCAACTATTAACATTCTTAGAATTAAAGTCAGTGGCTGTTTTCTTCAGTGCATATCCCTTGGGAATATAGGGCCATTGTAAAGGGATGATAAAGTGGAAGACCAGATATAAAGACAAGGCTAAGGACTCAATAAATGAAAACCTTACGAGAGTTGCACATTGCCACATTTCTAATAAACAAAGTTTCCCCTCATATTTGTATTTTTTAAAAATAGTTTTGAAGTGCTTCTATCAGGACAGTGGGAGGATTATTATTCACAAAACACACCCCCGCTTACTCATTTTTAATCTGATAGAGCCAAAAAGTATTTTTTTATTCTGGTTTATTTCTTAGAAACAATCCTATCTAAAAATGAATCGAACACAGAAATTACCATAGCTACATGTCAAATCTGCCTTAACTGTCTTAATCTTCCTACCAAAACTGTCTTTGTGCTTGGGTGTGAAATTTCAAATTTCATGGTGCATTTTTGTTGCTGTGGGGAAAGATTCCATATCCTTTCTCATATGAAAAACTCCTGAAAATAGACTTGTCAACATTTCCTTTCTTCTTTAGGTTGGTCTGGCATGTGGAATGTGTTAGAACCCCAGGCTGACTATCATATATCGGCATGGGAAGTTTGGGATCTGCTGAGAGAGACTTGTCTTCTTAACACATAAAGGAAACATGCTATAGGTCAGTCCTCTCTGTTCTCTGGGCAACTTTTGTGCCCCATGTTCAGAGAGGCACAAGTATCTTGTCTCTTGTCTAATCTCTGTCAATCCAATAGCATAAAAAGTCTTAGTTACCTAGATACTTTCTGGACAAGGTGGCCCTTTTTACTGTGGAAAACAGGCCTCTGGCCATTCTGTCCTTGTAATACATTTTTATGAGCCTTAGTAATATCACTCTCCGTTGTACTTCATCAAATCACCTGAACTCTCTCATTCCCTGAGCAGTGATCACTTCTCTCATTATAATGTAAATATGCACTATGTGAAGAGTAAAGCTTATTTAGCCATATAATCTGCTAGTCTAAAATTACATTTTTCACATTGAGAGAAGTATAGTTTGCATAGCTAAAGCAACAAAGTGCTTAAGTCTTGTGAAAAATGGTTTGAGACACAGAGAGCGTGCTAGTGCTGAAATCAACCAAGGCCTAACAGGAAAAGAGAAAGAGGTGGTAGGAGCCAAAGGATTAAAACCACAGATTTCTCTCTAATATTTCCTCAATTTCATCAACTTACATCTTTCTTGATTTGCCTCTTCTTGGTAATGCCTACTATTGGCCCTTGTACAAATGATCATTCCTAAAATTTCGCATATTCATCCCTCAAAGTTTTATCCTTTCTCTCTTCTCTGGTTGAAACATCAGATAGTCATATATATCCCTGTTGAGGTTTCCCCTTGACTAAAGGAAGCTAATAGTCCAGAAAGATCTCCATATAGGTTCGGTTTCCATACAGATCTAGATCTATATAATACGAATATATATATATATAAAATGTATATATATACACACACTAAAATAGAATTAATAGAACTTAAATTTAAATCCTAATTTAAAAAGAAACTAAGAAGATGAAGATTATGTTCTTCTAATGGTAACATTTTTATTTTGGATTTGGATAAACATTTTACTTGAATTGTTGAAAATGATTTTTACTCTTCTGGTTATATGAGACTGACCAATCTAATTCTCAGATCTGTACTATTTTCTACAACCTTTATGAGATGTATTGTTTCATCTGTGTTCTGCTTCTATTTTAGAGATCATATGGTATCCTAGTCTGCCTGTATTATTTGACAGATGATGGAACCCAAGGCCCGAAGAAAGAACTGACCTTTTTTGAGAATATGTATTTATGTCAGGCAGTGTGCTAGGCACCTTACATATTATAGTTCTTTATCTCAGAGAGGTTGCAAAGTAAGTGGTAGAGAGAGCATCTATGACTAGATCTAATCGACTCTCAAGTTCTCCTTCTTCTGTACCTCATTACATGTCTGGTAGAGTTTTGGCTCCTACATCTGATTTGAAGTTCAGAGGCCCTTCACTTTTACCACTTTCCTATTAAATTTCTCCTCTGTTCTACAAATCAGCACCCAGTTTAAGTAGACTTCCCCAACTCTCTTAGCTCCTTCCTTGACTCCTTCTCACGCATTTCAGCTGAGGAAGATAATCTTCTGCATAATTCTTGTTAGTAGGTTTCCATGAGGTTGGCAAGCACCTTATGTTCATTCTGGAAGCTATTGCTATTAGAAGATATGTACCACAGGTCACAATTTCCTGTGAACAGGTCAGTTGGAAGAAGGCAAAC